TACATACAGGTAAGGATAAAGGGCACTATTTCAGAGCCTAGGGATTAAGAGGGTTTGCATGTTTTCTGCTTGTTGTCTTGAATTTCTGCCACTCTGTGAGAAGAACATATTAGCCCAATAAAAATGAGAGACATTAGGAGCAACAGACTGGCAAACTCTTCTCCCTCCTCAGCTAGGTCCCAGAGAAATTTAGATGAACCCAGCCTATATGATAGCCAAATACCTGTAAACCACAGATGTGAAACTATTAATTTAATAATAGTTATTTTTTAAGCAGAGTTTTCAGTTGCTGATAAGCAACAACAAACCTGTATAGTCTGTATAGTAACTTTGAAGGAGTTCATATACCCTGTAGACAAAGGATAGATATGGCTAAGGAACTTAAACCTTTGAATTCACTTTAAGCTCTATTAGTGGTAGAGGCTAAACCTCTCCTGTGTCTTATGGAATCTGTGCGTTTTTGCATATGGGCCCTCCTCTATATTCTGCTGAAGGAGTTGAGTTACAAAATGTTGCCAGTTTTCACTTGCTCATGCCCCATCATTTCTCATTGGTTCCAGCCCATAAAAAGGGTTAGATTCCAACTTTGCTGATGAGAGATGGAAACACTTAACTGGGAATAGCTATGCTATATACCCAAGAAGAGATGGAAACACTTAACTGGGAACAGCTATGCTATACACCCAAGAAGAGATGCATAACCCCACCAATCTGTTTTGTCACAAAGTTGGGGAGCATGTGTGGGATTGAATCTAAGGTAGTCAGACCAAAGGAGAATAAATATAAAATTTAATGAGCTAAATGTGTTAACATGGGTGGGAAGAGAAGATTCAGTGTGCTAATATTAGCATCCTGGGTATGGTGTTAGATAAATTGGCTAATCAAAAACAGGAGTTAATTTCAGCTTACATTAGTGATGTAGAAGTGCCAGGGTATTCTTGGTATATATTAGGAGAAGTTCACAGGCTAATTGTTATGGAAATTGCTTGAATGGATCTATCATGTGTCAGCTGTTCAGTTGCCCCTTAATTTCTATCCCAAGAGAATAAAGGAAGGCATTCCTATCTCCTAGGAAGAAACTGCATTCACCCAGGAGGGCATTTTATTCACCAAAATGAAGAACAGGGTTGGTGAGGGAGCACCAGTGTCTTAATGAAGTTTGTGGTGATTTTCCTTTATAGGCTGGAATGAATGTGGGATGTTAAAGTAAAATTGGGTTCGCCAGTATAAATTAGAATAATGGGATCCAAGAATGGATAAAAACTGTTGGATATGCTTGACTATAACATTTAAAAATGAGGAAATAGCCACATAAATCAGAGAAACATAAATAGAATTAAGTATGTAGGTCTGCAGGACAGAAACCCAATTCAGTTTGCCTATGTAGGGATTCCTAGCCTCTTACACAATTACAGACTTATGCTATGTCATGGACTAAGGGTCTCAACTGAAGGACAGTAAGTCCCTTTGAAGAAGGATCTTGTCATATAGTCGCAGGTGTTTCATGTGTCTTCCTGAAGGTTTCCACAGAGGATTCTGAGGCCATTTACCAGTATGATTGCACATTGATGAAAGAAAGATATTCAGGCCTTCTAAGTTCCTGGGAAACGAATGGCCCTAAACTTATGCTTATCTTTGAAATACTCTTTCCACCAGTAGGAGTGCATATTTATTTAGGTCTGGTAGATGGATCACAAATCCATCTTTTGTTTTGTCATTTTATTTTCCCCCAGAGTCTCTGAATATATAGTGTAGTCAATACACTTAGTAATAGAATTTCCACATTGGAATAAGAACTGTTACGCAGGAAAGCCCAACTGGAAGGTCTTGAAATGCCCCTTTAGACTTATCAAGGTTTCAAACCAAAAGCAATTCTGTATCCCTATGGGACTTGTAGTGATTAGTGTCCCCTTCAAGCCTTGTGAGTTACAGGAGTGGTGATTCAAAGCATGTTTCTATTTACTTCACTAGATTAGACAGTGCAAAAGCCAGATGGCCATACAAAATAGTAGAAATAATAGAGGATTATCAGAAACTCAAGAAGGTTGTGATATAAATTTTGAGAGCAATTCTAGATGTTAGATCTCTATTAAGATAAACAAATGTAGCCCTTGGTGCCTGGAGAGCAATAGTGATCCGGCAAATGAGTCTTATTTATCCTAATCAATGTGTGTCCGGTTGAATTTGTCCAACTGTTTTTTTGAAAGATATTTTAAAAGACCTAAATAAAGACATAGCAATTCTTTTCAAATTGATCTACAAATTCAATGAAATCCCAATAAAAATTCTACCCAGTCTTCGTTTGCTTGTTTGAATGTAGGGATTTATGTGGAACATGTTGATTGTAACAGAAGAAACTGTCCAAAATAACTAAAGCTTCTGGAAGAAGATTAAAAATATTGCATTACCAATATTGAGATATTTCAAAGTTAAGTACTTAAGATTTATGGTACTGGCACATAGATAGCTAACTGAAATAAGGAAACAGAATAGAGGCAAAGAAATAAACATATTCATTTATAGGGATTTGATCTGCAACCAAGAAGGTGTTGTAGGTCAGGCCAAGCAGTAAGTAACAGATGACCTTATGCAATACATATAGCAGGCACAACTGGTATAGCATATGGAAAAATGAATGTAAGATTCCTACCTTATACACGCACAACATACCACACACACACACACACACACACACACACACACACACACACACACACACTTTCCAGATAAATTGATTTAAATGTGAAGGGTGAAACTTTATTTTATTTAAAAAAATTTTTTGAAGTTTATTCATTTTTGAGTGAAACAGAGACAGAGAGTGAGTGGGGGAGGGGCAGAGAGCCAGAGAAACACAGAATCCAAAGCAGGATCCAGGCTCCAAACTGTCAGCACAGAGCTCCATGAGGGGCTTGGGGCTTGAACTCATGAACCATGAGATCATGACCTGAGCAGAAGTTGGATGTTTAACCAAGTGAGCCACCCAGTTACCCGAAACTTTAAATATTTTAAAAGGAAATCTAAGCAACATCTTTTTGTCATAGAATAAACTTTTTTAAAAATATTGAACCAGTTTTGAATCCCTGGATCAAATCTTACTTGATCATGGCCAACAGTTTTTTAAAAATCTATTATTGAATTGAGTTGCTAATATTTTCGGTTTTTCCTTTTCTTTTTTGTTGTGTCTTCATCTGTTTTTTTTCTTTTTTTATGAGGGTAATGCTGGCCTCATAGAATGCATTTGGATGCTTTCCTATCTCTTCTATTTTTTGGAATAGTTTGAGAAGAATAGCTATTAGCTCTTCTTTAAGCAGTGTAAACATTTTAAACAAGATGAAAAATGCAACCCATAAACACACATTAATTTGGTTAGATTAAAATTAAATTTTAGCACTCAAAACATCATAAAGATGGTGAAATGTCAAGCCACAATCAATAGAATATTTTTAGTACATACAGTACAACTAATGAAAACAGTAATAATTAAAACACATAAAGATTCTTACAAATCAAGAAGAAGAAAACATAAATGGGAAGATGCCATAAATAGGCATTTCTAGAAAGGAAAAATTAGGGACTCCTGTGTGGCTCTGTTGGTTGAGCATCTGACTCTTAGTTTTGGCTTGGGTCATGATCTCATGGATTTGTGAGTCTGAGCCCCGTCTGCGGCATCATGCTGAGGATGTGGACCCTGTTTGGGATTCTCTCTCTTCCTCTCTCTCTGCCCCTCCCCGACTCAGGCTGTCTCTCTCTCAAAATAAATAAATAAACTTAAAAATTGCATTAGGATGGAAAAATTAAATATTTTGAAATGGCTGAAGAAATGCTTAAAGTCAGAAGTTATGATGGGAGTATAGAAAAAAAAAAAAACACACACACACACAAGGAGATACAATTTTGCACACAGCAGATAGGCCCAAATGAAATATGTAAGAATGTAAATAGGGACATTTTTTCACTTTTGTTAAGAGTGTGAATATTCCATTTTCAAAGTGAATTGAAAAAAAATGATATAATACATGTGAAAACATCTACTCAATAGTGCAATTATTCCATTTTTAGATACCAAACTAAGGTAACATTAGTACTTGTGTATTGGGGAAATATTTGAAAACCGAAATGATATTATTATGTCTAAGAAAGAAGAGTCAAATAAACCAGATATCTATGATCAGAAGAATGATAAACAAATGTTGGAAATGTTTAAATGGAATATTCTACAACAGTTAAAACTGAGCAACTGATACATGAATAATGCAGAAATATTTAACAAAATGAATTGTTTCTGAAGATGATACACAATATTATTTCACTTATATTAATATGCAAGCTAAGTGTTTTATTGAGGCAGGCATACAAATGAAATGGTTAATGCTGTATATTTTTTAAGTGTTTACTCATTTTTTGAGAGAGAGAGACAGAGAAAGAGAGCATGGGTGGGGGAAAGGCAGAAAGGGAGGGATGTGCAGAATCCGAAGCAGGCTCCAGGCTCTGAGCCATCAGCACAGGGCCCCACAGGTTCACGAACCTGTGAACTGGGCTGAAGTTGATCATGACCTGGGCTGAAGTCTGGTGCTCAACTGACTGAGCCACTCATGTGCCCCAACTTGATAGTGTTTGTTAAAGGCAAGGTAATGGGTTAAATAGGTGATGGGGATTAAGGAGAGCACTTGTGATGAGCATCAGGTGATGTATGGAAGTGTTGAATCACTATATTGTATACCTGAAACTAATATTACCCTGTATGTTAACTAACTGAAATTTTAATAAAACTTAAAAAACAAACACAAAATAAAATCTTGGTTGAACAACTACAAAAATCATGATATTCAATACAATTGTATGGAAGAGTAGAGGAGTAACTGGGTTTAAGCAAGTAAGTACTTGGGTTAAGGATACTGGGAATATTCTGCTTAAGTTGAATGATGGGTGCATATATGTTCACTTTACTATTTAAATATCATGTATATAAAATAACTGAATCAGTAAATGTAGTCTCTAACCTGTTTGACAGATCCACGCAGGTTCCATTATTTTTGCAAGGTCTAGAAGAACACTCATTTGTATCAAGATCACATAGAGGTCCAGAAAACCCAGGTCTGCAAATACATCTTTTAAACAAGACATTTAATGAGTCCATTAATATAAACATACAAAGTCAAAGCTTCAAATAATTGTAGCATGGCAAATTGTTAATAACCAGAAATGTTGTTTAATTTGTCAACTGAAATTATAAACATGGATATATTCAGATACATCTAGATGCATAAACTTGAATCCAGATATTTTTGGGTTTTCTGTACCTGAAATTGTTGACTCCATCTTCGCAGTCACCATAATTCTGGCAGGGAAGAGAGAAGCACTCATTCACATTAATTTCACAATGTTCACCCTCAAATCCTGCGGAAAGATGAGATGGATATAGATGAACAATCCTCACTTCAGAGTGTGAAAATCAGTCAGTGGTAAAGAGTCTGGAGAATATGCTCTTAGAGGAAGTTTATGGGAAAAAAAAATTAAATAAAGAAAGAGAAAACACCTCATCTATGGCCTCTCATATAACTCTATTTCACACAACATATGAATAAAATTATGTTAGTTTCTAATTAATGAGTTCAAATGAAAGAATCAGGGGAGGAATATTTTACTCAATCCTTTGGGAAAGTGGGGTTGTTGCTAATGTTGCTGTTGTTTTAAGGTATTTAAATGTTTGAACAAGAAGAACTGAAACAAGTTGGAAAGGAAATGAATTAATGTGACGGCTGATCTTAACATAAAATTGAGCTTCAGCAATCAAATTTATTCAAGGCAGTTAGCAGATGAGGCAAATTATTTAATTACTTTCCATATCCAAGTGATTCAAAGAAAACAAATTATTTTGATCCATAACTACATAATCAGTCATCCATTTAAACACATGCCAGTTATTTTTTTAAAAAACAAAGAACATGAAAAAAAATGTACAGAATTATGAGAGGCACTTGTAATTATTTCAACACTTGTGTCAGAAAAAAAAATCAGTATATCACTTTTTAAAATGCATTTAATATTTTAATATTTATGATGACAATTTAAACAATTATTTCCATATTTCTATAGTAACTAGGTAAATTGAAATATAGTCTTATACTCATTTTTCTTGCTAATATTTTTGTAATACTAGTTAGAGAATGTATGAAACAAGAGGATTTTCCTTTATCTTACTTTTCCAGTGCTATAACTAAGTGCCAAATAATTGCAAATTTCTGACATTACAAATGGCAATATCTACTCATATTTTTTAGTTTGAAGAACATGTCATTCAAGTTGTTCTATTAAACCTGTAATTTTTATTGGCATATAGGCTAGGATCTGAAAGAGCATGATCTAGGGACCCATGAAGGGCCATCTTCCTACAGTTCTATCTCATAAAGTTTCTCCTCCTCTTTCTATCTTCAAATATCTCTTCACGTTGAAAGTTCTTTTTTTTTTTTTTTAATTTTTTTTTTCAACGTTTATTTATTTTGGGGACAGAGAGAGACAGAGCATGAACGGGGGAGGGGCAGAGAGAGAGGGAGACACAGAATCGGAAACAGGCTCCAGGCTCCGAGCCATCAGCCCAGAGCCTGACGCGGGGCTCGAACTCACGGACCGCGAGATCGTGACCTGGCTGAAGTCGGACGCTTAACCGACTGCGCCACCCAGGCGCCCCTCACGTTGAAAGTTTCAAATCATTTGTAATATCAGCATGGAGATGATCTAGCACTGCTGCTTTGGTCTCTATTTCTATTATCATGATCTTTTAGCTTCAGCATCTACTGCTGAGTGGAATGTCCTCTATACTTCCTCATTTACAGTCCCAGGAGAGAACATGGGCTTGTCCTACTTTATCCTTTCACGTCGTGCTATTAGCCATTGCCATTCTCTGTGGTGTCTACCACCAAGTCAAGTGGCAAACCTGCTTCTACTTGGGAGTTTGGCAAGTTGGTATTACCTCTTATAAAATCTGGCTGCTTTTAGGTGGGAGATAATATGGAAACTTAAACATTACTTAATCCAAAAGAAGGCAAGGTAAAAAGGAACAAAGTAGAGATATGGTACTCTAGAAAGTAGAAAACAAATAGCAAGATGATTCATTTAGAGCCATTATACACCAATATTTATATCAAACGTGGTTTTAAAAAAATACTTCAATAAAAGGCAGTGACAGCCAGGCTAAATAAAACAACAGAACCAACCACATGATTTCTAAAAGAAATTCACTTTAAATATAGAGATGACGATAGGTTAGAAGTAGAAAGACGGAATAAAGATGCACTATGAAACACTTATCAGAAGAAACCTACAGTGCTTATGTGTCTAGCAGATTAGGTAGTCTTTAGGACAAGCATCATTATTAATTTGTCCTATTTTTTTCTTACTCAATTATCAAAGCCTGCAAGTTAAGTTCTGAAGTTTCATGCTTACAATTTCATTCATGTACTAGGTTTGTATTGTCAGTATTAAAAATAAAATTAAAAAGAGTTATTTCCAAGTTAATACGGTTCTCCTAATTTTAGGTAAGCAAGGGTATCATTCCAACACATTTCACCATTCATCAATCCAATAATGCTATCCTATTTAAATTGTAACTGTTACAGCATAGTTATAAATAACATAATAAGCTTTTTTTTATGTATATATATATATACGTAAAAAAAAGTTAAAGATTTAGAACAGTGGATGCATTACACTATTCCTACTTCAAGCATGACTAGCTTTCTCTAGGAGGTAGAGTCTTCTGACACTAAGCTGTTTCTTAGAAGTGTTCGTTTGAGGCACTGGAACTCAGAGGCATTGGCTAGCTAGAGAAGTAATGCCAGTGTACCTGCCTGAGTTCAGCTGGGCTGATAAATCAGAAGAACATTCAGAACCTGGAAACTCAGGCAGCTCACAGAATAACCTTGTGTTTGTGATTTTGCCTTATTCATTTAGTTTGACATTTCTGAGATGGAGCTTTGTTACCAACCAGCAACATGTCAATGGGTTGAGGAAATTAGATTGCTACAACTCAATAGACATTGGGAGAAAGAAATAAAGTAGACACAGAGTGCATTTAAAATAAACTGAAGCTTTGCTAAGAAAGCTTGTGTTTGTGGGGTTTAAAGGAGAAAAATGTATATATACTTAGTCCTAAACTATACTTTCCATAGTCCTTGGTGTTAGAAGCAGATATTCATTCGTGTGAAGGGTATTTGTTTTGAATATATGCAGTGACAACTAAAAGTCTGTCAAAACTTTGTAAGTACAGTCAATTCATTCCATGCTACTCTCCAGTTATTTATCCCTATCCAGACTATTAAGCTGACTCTATTAACTGCAGTAGGGTTTTTTATACACAAACTGATTTTCTTATAATGTCTTGCCTGTACATTGTCATAGAGAACGCATGTGACTAATCAATAAATATTTTTACATTTTCTCATCCTCTAAAGCATAATGGTAAGTTACTAAACTTACTGTTCATGAACCAAATCAGTGTCAACTATAGGCATAATCTTTAAAATCACTTAATATTTTCTCATTTCTAAAAAAAAAATCATTTTCACATGATTCTTTAGAGGGGATATCATAGATTATTTTTTTTAATTTTTTTTAACGTTTATTTATTTTTGAGACAGAGCATGAACGGGGGAGGGGCAGAGAGAGAGGGAGACACAGAATCCCAAGCAGGCTCCAGGCTCTGAGCCATCAGCCCAGAGCCCACGCGGGGCTCGAACTCACAACCGTGAGATCATGACCTGAGCTGAAGTCAGATGCTTAACCGACTGAGCCACCCAGGCGCCCCAGGGATATCATAGATTAAAGTACATTAACAATAGTTCGATTTTCATGAAACTTGACTAAGAAACATTTTGTTATTCAGGGCTATACCTTGACAACTCTCCCATTAGAAGTAATACCACTTGGAACTAGGAATGAAAGTAAATAGGGGAAAAACTAGAGCATATCTTTTATGTATTCAATAAGTTAGTGTTAAAATCATACATTTTAAAATAAAAACTAAAAATATTAAAAGTGAATGATTTTCAAAAGCATTAGAAAGACATTATTTTTCTTTTTTCTTTCTTTTTCCGAGAGAGAGAGAGAGAGAGGGCATATAAGTGGGGGAGAGAGGCAGCAGAGAGAGAGAGACAGTGAGAGAGAGAAAGAGAGACAAAGAGAAAGAGAGAGAGAATCTTAAGCAGGTTCCATTTTCAGCACTAAACCCTATGTGGGGCTCGACCCATGACCCGGGCCAAAATCAAGAGTCTGATACTCAACCACCAGAGCTACACAGGTGTCCCTATATTTTTATTTAAAAATTTTAATTTATCTAGATTTTAAAACTTTATGAAAACAACTACAACAAAAAAGATATCTTTCTCTTGGCAAGTCAGAATTTTTTTTAAATATTGTTTTATTTTTATTTTAAAACAATATAATACAAATACTAGCATTGTCTTGAAAAATTAACCAACTATTACAAAACAGTTGCATTTACTTCTATGAAATAGAAAAGACAGAACTAATTTCTAGTAGGCTTAATATGGTTTTAACACTGATTTTAAGAAAATTAAAAAAAAATGAGTATAAAAGCTGACATTTTCTTTAAAAATTTTTGATGTTTTAATTTATTTTTGAGAGAGAGACAGAGAGAGTTGGAGAGGGGCAGAGGGAGAGGGAGACACAGAATCTGAAACAGGCTCCAGGCTCTGAGCTGTCAACACAGAGCCCAAGACGGGGCTCGAATTCATGAGCCATGAGATCATGACCTGAGCTGAAGTTAGATTCTCAACCGACTGAGCCACCCAGGCACCTCTTAAAGCTAATATTTTAAAATACAATAAATTATTGACATGTTTTTAAAGTTAACTAGCAACAATATATATTTTCTCTGAAGAATTTCCCCAATATAAATATCTACAGCTCTTTAAACCTAATAGATACATGCTACCAACATAAGCACATATTTTTAATTCTCAAAAAGAGTAATTTTTAATTTAGACAAACTATATTGTCAAGTGACACATTTATTTGGTGCTTGGAATTATACACCTCAGGTAACATGGCATTACCGTAGTAATTGTATATGTGTTGGAGTAATAGACACATTTGAATGCAACTACTTGCTTCCTCTGGTACTACAAATCCATCATGCTTAGAATCCCAATTGTAAATCGACAGCACATGTAAATGATTTGATTCTTCCTTCCACTGTGACATTTTACAAGTACTCTTTGCCACATTCTAATCCTTTGTAAAGTGTCATTTTAAAAAACTTTTGCTCCGGGGCACTTGGGTGGCTCAGTTGGTTAAGCCTCTGACTTCAGCTCAGGTCATGATCTCAGCTGGTGAATTTGAGCCCCACATCAGGCTCTGTGCTGACAGCTCAGAGCCTGGAACCTGCTTTGGATTCTGTGTCTCCCTCTCTCTGCCCCTCCCCAGTTCACACACTCTCTGTCTTTGTATTTCAAAAATCAATAAACATTAAAAAATTTAAAAAAAAGAACTTTTGCTCCTTTCACCTTGGAGACATATGGATGAAGTGGGTATATTTGGAAACTAAGCCCTGTAAATTAAAAGTAGTGGATAAGGTGGTGTTCTTGCCTACAAACCAAGATATAATTCAAAGTAGAAAGATAAAGAAGCTTTCCTAAAGAGAGTATGAGAAAGAAAATATACTTTAAGCTGAAATGATTTTAGGTCTCCCACTGTACACACACATACTAATAACTCCACTGTATGCTGTACGCATTTTATCCACATGCATTTTATCTATAGTCATCTCTACCTCTGTATCGTAACCCTCATGCCATTCTTATATTTCATTTCTACCAGTCTGAAGTTGAACTGCATTTGTTCAACCTCTTGAACTTTATTAGCTCTTTCCCTTTACTATATGCATTAGAAATCACTCTTTTGATCACATACAATATAAACAAAAATACTAAGCTAGATAGAAGGAATGGCATTTATTGGGTAGCCTAGCTGGAAGGATGCCCCATAGTCTGTAGAATTTATAAAAGAACCATAGGAACTGCCAGGATGACTTATTCTTTCACAAACACTTCTCTCCTAGTGAATTCAGATCTCCATGTGAAGAGAACATGGAGTTGGCTGCATCCACTGAAAAACTCTGAAAAAAAGAAGCCTCTTTCCTTAGTGTCAATTCCAAGGAAGGGCTCTCAGTGACAATATTCCAGTCCCATGCTGATGTGGATCAATCATAATTGCCAGAGAGATGGAGTTTTCTATCTCTCTTAGCTTGAGCTCTTCCAAAATAAGAATATGAGATAATAATATGTACTCAGGTAGCTTATTTGAGAGGTGACCCCAGGAATTCCTGCAAGGGAGTGGGGAGATAAAACAGGGGAGAGAGGGGCTTAATGAGTAGGCTACTGCGACGGGCAATGAAGGCTCTAAGGCTGCTGGGGATCCTCTTATGAATCATGTGGAACATAACTCGGAGCTCTCACACTCCATAACAAACTTTGCATCTACAAAGTAGGAACGTGGTACTTTACTGGTTAGTTAATTTTTGTGTCTTTCCTTGAACTTAAGTTCCTTGAGGGTGTGTCTTTGCCTGCTTAATTTCCCCAGAACCTGTTTCAAGACTTGACACATGGTAGGAAATCAATATGTGTTTGTTGAATCAGTTAATAAAGAATACAATTTTTAGATTTCTAGAACCCTACCAACATCTATTTGCAAGATTGGGCAGAGTTCAATAGAGAGTAGTATATGAGTATATATATATAATATATATATGAGTTATATATATTTATTTATTATATATATATTTATTTATTATTTATATGTGATATTTATTTATTTATTATATTTATTTATTATTTATATTTATTATATACATATATATATATATATGCTATATATATATAGCATAAATGTTGAGGTAAGCTAATTGATTGCATACTAAATCACCAAAACCTAACACTTTATATAAGGTACCTAAAGTAACCCATTTGTTTCCAGGAATCTTGAAGAATCATATTTGTCTTTCTATGTGCTATTTTTATATTTATTAATGAACTTATTTTTTTTTACCACAGAAATTATTTAAACAAATAGGATTAGATACAAAACAAACCTGTATTGAATTGTTACTGGTAGACACCTTTCTATCTACCTATTTTCCACTAGAAAATGGTGAATGTTCATAGGGATAAAGTTAACTTACCTCAGTTCTAAACAGAAGACAAAAGCACTGCCTTTACTTTCTCTTGCAAAACATGATCACCATATTTCTGGTGTTTTACTACACCTATAATTATTAAGTTGCTCACATTGTACCCAAATGGATTAGATTGTTTTGACTCTAAGTTTCAATCACACTAACCAAAGTAGTTTACCCGGTAAGCATTCTATTTGGGATGAATCATAGTATCAGTTATTCTAGTTGCTGTTCTTCAGAGTGAATTTTAATGCCATTTATAATTTAGTTATCTAGTACATAGTCACATTACTACTCTGGCTTTGAGGTTTTATTTATATTCATATTTAAATTGTGATAGACCATGCAGACTGACTAAAAATTGTGAACAGAATTTCAAAAACGCATATGTTGAACTCCAAGACCTTAAGCCTTAAATCTCTTTCCTCATGATACCCTATATCCTAGGCACTTAGCAAACACTAACAGCTTGCAAAGAATTCCAGTGGAGCTTCAAAATCCTGTATCTATATATGAGGTTAAGTCTTGGAATTCTTCATGGTTTTAAATTTCAGTACTTTTATTATTTTGTTTGTTTGTTTTAAGTTTATTTATTTTGAGAGAAAGAGAGAGAGTGTATGCAAGCAGGGGAGGTGAGAGAAAGGAGACAGAATTCTAAGAGAATCCTAATCCTGCTCTGTCAGTCCAAAGCCCAACATGGGGCTCAGTCTCTCAAGAACTGTGAGATCATGACCTGAGCTGAAATCAAGAGTTGGATGCTTAACAGACTGAGGTACCCAGGTGGCCCTTAAATTTCAGTACTTTCAAAATTGAATTTGATCAGAATATTTTCTTTAAAAAAATAATATGATGCCTTTGACGTAGATACTTTTTCAAACAACAAGTATTAAAGTAACTCAGGACATAGTGTCTAAGCTATTCCACAGTCACCCTCTTTTTAATATTCTGAGGTAGTTTTTTAAAGCAATGTCACAGGCTTCAGTTTGATCTCCTACAGAGGTTGAAGTATTAAAGGCAATAGTGAGTAAACATTTTTTACAGTAGTTAGATCTCATTTACAGAAACTTACTCCTACATTTCCTTAGGTTTCAAAAAAAATTTCAATTTCAAATATATATATATATGTATATATATATACACACACACACATATACATGTATACATAAATATATATATGAAGCAAAATAGTTTAGAAATGATGTACACTTCAAATATCTCTGTGCTGAATCACAGTTAGAAACACATGATTCGTTGTGCCCGCCCACTACTCTGTCCAAAGCATTGATTTCAGTGCTCATATCTCTCTTAAACCCTTAAGTAGAACGATGAATTTTCAAGAAAAAAAATAAACCAACAAGATTTTACTAATATACAAGATGAAATAAATCTAAATTGTCCTCAAGATATTTTTGTGATGTTCATGAGGCTAGAAAATATTATTACTAATATGATAGTTGATAAGGTTTTATGATATCTCTGAACTTATTTTTCCTTCATCCCTCAACAGGAAAGGAATCTCACCAGATTATATAAATTCATTAAGTACATCTGTGAATTACAAATAAATTGTCAAAAAAATTATATGGAAAAAAATGACATGCCCCCAAAATATACCTGTCTTGTAGAAAACTATCTTTGGCAAAAATAGAGGAGGTTTTATTTTAATAGAGGAAATAGGCTACTGCCTCTCAATAAATATTATCCATTACTTCTATTCTGAGAATATATTAGTAGGCTAAGTAAAGCATCACAGAGTAATCCTGCTAAATAAATCAGCTCCTCCCTTGCTACTGAATAATATTTCATAAAGTTTCACTCTCAACATTAAAAGGAAAATTCTTCATTTAAATTATTTACTTTATAATTACTGAGGGTTTCAGGGTATTAGGTGTTCCCCTCACATTTTTTCCTAGCTTGCTTTTCCTGACTCATTCCTGCAAACATTTATCCATATACCTTATATGCACATATTATTTGTTTTATACAGCCCATGTCATTTTTGCAAAAACAATTGCTAATGGCTTTCCACTTTGTAGTTCCAATCCCTCCTAAGGTCCAGAAGTTTCTGTCATGTATGTACATTCAAGGACTTGCCTCTATATCCTTACAATAGATTTTCTTATACATCAGGAATTTCTAGAGGTTTCATAAAAACAAACAAAAACAGCTTTGACTAAGATACCAATTAATTGGTACAGTCTAAGCTGACCTTTTGGGACAGAAGAGTAAAGAAGCACTATCCTTATTTTTAATAAACATCTATTCTAGTAGAATCAGTAACAAGGAAAGAGACATGAACCCATAAGTTGGCATTAGAAAATAACTAACAGTTGTAGGCTTTTATACACAATATGGTTTTTATATTGTGCTTATGACAAACACATTCCAGTTATAATGAAAATGTGCTAGTTTTATGATAGAAGCATTCCTGCTGAAGATAGTAATAGCTCTTGAGTAGTCAGCAATACATGAGCAGTAAACATTTATGCAGATCACCTAATCAGATCACTAATCAGATTTCTTTCAGTTACATCTGAAGAGATCCCAATCAAGCACCTTGAATAACTTGATATGACCCAGAAAGCCGGAAGTTACTCACTTCAGGAATAGCTGGATTTGGAGCTCCAATAATGTCTTTTGTGATCTGCCCGTCCTCTATCCCTTTCATAGGCTCTATTTTAGCGCACAAAGTAGCCACAAGAGTCACATGATACTGGCTTAGCAACCACAGCAGACATAAATGGTGTTCATAGATCCCTCCAGGAGGGAAGTTACAGTGAAGCATTTGATTACCCTAGATTCTATCTATGCTCATTTCTAACTAACTGCTATTGTAAGGAACACTACATGGACAAAATTCAAGAAAAAGAAGCTATTAACAATAGGAGATTTCTTAAAAAAAAAAAAAAAAACAAAAGAGCCCAAATCTATGAAGTTTTGCCTTTTCCTCACCCACTCCCCCTGGCCCCCCAACATCATGCTACTTAGGTTAACTTTTTAGATTATTTCTGTGGTCTGTTTATATACCTATATTTGGAGTCAAATACTCCCCCATCTCCAATGTATATATGTAAGTTTTCTCTCACCCATTTTTAGGGAGTCATAATACCATAAATACAAAATAAACCAAACAGACAAAAAAGTGAAATATAACATTAAAACAAATATAGGCTCTTACCTTCTCTACACACACAATAATGATTTCCATCAACCAAAGTCAAGCACGTTGAGTTGTTTCTGCAAGGGTCACTGAGTGGATCACAGGGGTTATAGTGTTGATGGCAAAATTTTCCAGTATAAAAGGGTGGGCACAGGCATACAAAGTGCCCAGGAATGGAAGACTCATGACAAAGAGCTCCATTCATGCATGGGTCAGAGTCACATTCATTTATTTCTTCACTACAGTTTTGTCCAGTCCATCCAGGTGTACACTCACAGCTGAAATAAAATTTTAACAAGTATGAACAGTGCTGTTTCAAATGTATTCTTTGAATTTTGAATGTATTACTACATTGAACTAATTTGTAGTATTTTTATATATAACAAGATTAATAAGCATAGTTGAGAAACATCGTTTACCTAATTTCCTGAGACAATTCAATGTATAATACGGCAAAACTGACTGCAATGGCAAAGATAAGATTTAAGAAGCATTTTCTAACGTGGTAGGCCACTGACACAGATCAGAGAACAACAGCGCTACCAATTTCAATTTTGGCAACTATTGAGTTTAATTACCAATTGACAAAATTTCCTCAATTATTTCTTTTATGCAAAATAATTTTCACTGTTTATAAGCCTGATATGATATTTATGCAATGTCTTTAGCAACATGTGACTCTTATAATCACCAGAGTATTTATAACAAGGTGTTCCTTTATGCTAAGCAAGTTTTTCATTTCACTTTTGCATGCTTTTAAGAACATCTTTCCTACTAATATTTGAATAATGTGGGAAAATTGAAGAGAAAGCAAATCACTAAAAAGTGAAGCATTTGGATCTTATCTGTACCTTACAGACTCTAGCTAGGTCTAACCCTCAACCATCTGGCATCTGTCATTCTCTCAGAAACTTTTGAGTTCAAATAGCAATTTAACCAAACATCTTCCATCAAACTAGGCTAATTCTTTTCCTAAGAGGAGGAGGATTCTAACAGAGCAGAAAAAATGTTTGTCCATATAATGTATTATTCAAACAAGGGAAATGGACAGGAAATGAATGGAGTAATACTGAAACCTGCCAATATGGAATGAATGGGAGGTTGAGTGGAAGTCAATCAAAAACTGTGTGCATGTTCAGAGAGCGAGAGCACTCATGTCAGTCTATGGGCAAGGTAGAGCTCTAAATCTAAAGTAAATGTGTTATTTGGCAAGTGACAAATCATGAGACAAGGCATAGAGGATATTAGAAGAATTATTTTCAGAAAAACATTTTTTACTGATATATTAAATATTTAAAATAACTTGGAAAGAATATTATATTCCTGAAATATTTAACTTGCTTCATGATAAACAACATCTTGCTAAAAAAGAGAGATAAAATAGGGGAAAAAAAGAGGACAAGGAAACAAGGAAGGGGAAGGGGAGAAGGAAGAAAAGAAAGAATAAGTTATCTCATTTGCACTATATTAATAAATACAGAATATACCAATATAGTGAGAGCAAATAGTTGAATGATTGGCTTTACCATTTGAAATGAATTGAAAATGAATTCTAAATAGATATAATACTCATTGAAATAAATACTAAAATGAATAGGGGGAAAGATAGCTTTAGGCATAATTGACTAATAATATGTTTACTAGTTTAATAAGATTGAATACAAACTAAAAAAAAGTGGATTTTACAGCTTTTTTTTAAGTTGGTAGTGTGCAGAAAGTTACTGCTACAATGCAAATTGAGTATTTATTTGTAAGGTATGTTTACAAGGCAAACCACAACTGAAACAATCTGTAACTCTGAAATGTAAAAATATATCTATGAATATGCTATTTCCTTAGAATGAGTAAAAAATGTGGATGTTTTACTTTCTCTTCTAAAAGGAAATGACATTATTTTCTTGACTATACATCCTGGTTTGCCTAGATAGTCCTGGCTTAGGCCTATTGTTCCAGTACAATGATTTACATGGTACCCTTTGATTTAACAAAAGTGTCTAAAGTGCTATTGTCTTCATTTTTGATTATACTATTAAGAAAAATGAATGTTTTCCAAAAAACACTATACTCTCAGTTATTTTCTAATCCTGCATATGATTTCATCTTGCTCTAAAATTTGTCTGTCATACCTTTGAAAAATGTATCCCATATACAACCTTATATTATAAACATTTCCATGACTAGCCTCCATTAATTAAACTTCTGGCTCCTCATTGTGATTCTGAATCTCTATATTCTCATGTACATAACATATGTTGAAAATATTATAAATATTGATGGATATATGGTCTTCAGTTGGAATCATACAGAGTTATCTGAATTCTTTCACTTGGGAAATTGAGTATCAGAGAGTTTATTGAAATTGGTAATCTCCAAGAATTATTATAAAGATTAAATAATATAATGAGTAAAAAGCATACATGATGCCTGACATCAATATTGCCTACCCACCTATGGTGGCCTCTAGGTGCTGTCACAGAATTAAAAAAATATATATCTATATCTATATCTATATCTATATCTATATCTATATCTATATCTATATATATATCTGTTATCCTATTTATGCTTAAATAAAATATGCATCTCAACAATGAGAAGTGCTTCAATTTCTAGTGGTACTTTTCACTTATTTGTCAACCACATCTTATTTTAAAATGGCCAAATATAGTATTCAATTGGATATCTCCAATAAAGCTTTGAAATAGGTAGAAAAATGTATTTTTTTATTCTCACTTTATAGATGAGACAGTCAGAAGTGCGAAGGATAAAAGTGACTTATCCAAAATCACCTGGTTGGCAACTTGAGATCTGAAGCCCAGACCTCTTCCTTCAAGGTTCCCTCTTTTCTTTTTTTCTTTCTTGCAGGTTTCAAATCCATTATAAGAATATCCAAGATGTTGTGTAATAATATTAAAATTAAGTATAATCAAATCCCAATACAGTAGCTTCAGTGAATTTATTTAAAGTAGCTTTACTTCTAAAGTGCTGTTGCATAAATATTTATCTTTTTCTTTTTCTTGTATTCCTTCATGAGTACATAATTTCAACTTGACTAAAAGAGTTCCCTGTGAGTAACCAATAATGTTTGAATATTTAACATATGTGCTGTTTGTTTTATCTTCTCACATAACAGGTGGCTCAAAATTTCATGTGGTGTCCTTACAAGGATCAAATCCTCAGGAAAGCATCTGGCCATATGTCAACAGGACTGATGATGCCAAGGTGAGGCCTCTGGAGATGAATGGATATTTGCAGAAAATAAAGTTCTAAAGAACAAAGTCACTATTTACAACTAACACACCTATACATTTATATATTTGAATCTGCTTTTATACATATCAGAGAAACTAGTCTGATGAATGGAAAAACATGTTTTATGTGAGAGCTTCAGTCTGGTTTTTAGCTTGTACTATGAAATAATTTCTGGATTCAGTATGAACTGGCAGGATTCTCCAAACTCACAGCTAGAAGCAGGATTTTTATGGATTGAAAAACCAAACAAGCAAAAACACGTACTCTATGACTTTTTGAGGATATGATTTCTAGTAATAAATACTCAAAAACTAATTTATTGTATACTTAAAAGTAGATTAATATGTTCTAATTTGCTGTCTTCCTTAGTGAGATAATCAAAAATTCACTGGCATAAAATACACTGAATTCCTTCTAAGTAAGAACAACATTTCAATTCTTTTTTTTTTAACATTTATTTATTTTTGGGACAGAGAGAGACAGAGCATGAACGGGGGAGGGGCAGAGAGAGAGGGAGACACAGAATCGGAAACAGGCTCCAGGCTCTGAGCCATCAGCCCAGAGCCCGACGCGGGGCTCGAACTCCCGGACCGCGAGATCGTGACCTGGCTGAAGTCGGATGCTTAACCGACTGCGCCACCCAGGCGCCCCAACATTTCAATTCTTAAATGTTGATTTAAACTACCGAAGCTAAGAATAGAAAATAAAGTAGATGTCATTGTTATAAAACAGGACAAAGGAATATTCATGAAAAATATCATTAGCTTAAATAATCTTAGTAGATTCCCATTTCTAAATATTAACCATTCTATATGCTCACCTTATCAGAAATATTGATATCCAATGATTAAATAATATTTTGCAATATTTATGTATGTTTGTTTTGTATAAGTATACCAGCTTTTTGGCTGTAAACTTATAAATACAAATCTAACAGTATACATAACTTGAAAGAGTCTTCTTATATGAATTAATTCACTTATTCTTTGTTGCGGCCATTATTTTGATGCAAAATAAAATCCCAATTGAAACTAGCAGGTGAAAAAGAAATAGAAATACTATAAGTAATAAAATAGAATTGTTATCTTTGTTAATGTCTTAAAACGTTGAAGGCACATAAAAAGGAAGAAATTTAAAAAATACAGGCTATCAGCTAAGTCATTCACTTTGTATTTTATTGTTTTATCCATTCACCTGTTGTTCATATATAGTTATTTCATCAGGTATACCTTAACAAAACTACATTAATAATGAACTCTAAGATATTCACTACTATACTTTTAGCCACTGCAGTCCTCTTGCAATAAAATGTGGAAAACCATTTAGCTCACTTAGACCGGTAAAACTTGTGTCAAATAAACTATTTTATTAGTAACAATAAAAAACAAGAAAACGGGTTCAAAAACCATTCTGAAGAGCATCATGCAAGTGTAAAGATGTAAAACATAAGAAGATTGTATATGGGTGGAATGAACAATTGGAACGGCCTAAAAAGTTATAGCAAGGCAAGACTGAACAACAGCAACGACAGTGAAACTAAGTTATTTTACATTCTACCCTTGAAGATATTTAACACTTTCTTTTTGTTTTTAAGTATGGTAGTAACACAATCAGATTGCTATAGAGTAGAAGATGGATAAATGGGGAGAGCTTGGTAGCATGAATATCATTTAGGAAGCTATTGTTTTATTGTTGATAAGAGATTATGAGGATCTAAGCCAAGACGTTAATTAGTTACACCATATTTAAAGTACATTTCTGATGTAGGTTTGAGAAAATTTGGACAATGATTACTGTAAGTTAATGAAGCAGAGGGAGTAATGGGGGGTTCTTGGTTGATTTTAGCTTATTTATATTATTTTAGAAAGGTAATGGTGATTACCTTTAGGTGAAATAGGAAATAATACAGAGGATGGCAGAAGATGAGAGGCTACTGATGTTTAATATATAGTTACTTAATTTAACCGCATGATTTAAGACGCTGTCCTATATGTAGTAAGATATTCAAATATGGTACTCTGGAAAA